ATCTAATAAAATCTCAAATTTTCTTTGAAAAATAACTCATAAATATCAGATACCTTTTGGAGGGAAAAAATCTATGCCTTGATAGCTTGATATATTTTATAGTAAGAAGCTATTTATTTTATTGCATGTACATGTTTTCTCAGGATTTCATATCATACTATTAATTCTCATGTACTTTCTTATATTAAATAAAAAATAAGCAAAATTAATAATATAAAAATTATTTTATTCTCTCAAATATAATTCCTCATATGTATATTATAATCCTCATAATTTTATTGGGGGTGAGAATCATGAATATTCATTGACACAATTATTGACTTAGAAAATCTTTGATGGGCAAAAGCTAATAAGATAGTCAGTTCCAATATAAGTAAAAGTGCTTGTCTCATCATCATAAGAGTAGCTGTAAGCCGAAGGTCAAGCTTTCTTGAGAATGAATGAATATTTAGTTGGCCCACACTTGTCGCGATCATTGTACTTTCCAGTACAAGGTACTCATCGCTAGATCGAGTTCTTCCTGATCGTCCCTGGAGTTTGTACAAATTGAACTGTCTACACAATTCTTGAGAGAGAGAAACATGAAGAAGAAAATATTATTCATTGATGTATTTTCATAGGTACACAGGGATGATATATATAGACATGTAGAGGGACCTAATGCAAAGCCTAGAACCATCATCGGTAGCTTATGTGTACAATATATATTTGTTTAATAAATGTATTATGATACACCCCGACAAAGTGATGGGTCTGGAAGAACCATCAGTTTGTGTTTGAGTTGTCGGAATCGATTTGTTGATAGAGGTTTGGTGAGAAACGTCATAGGTCTGATCAATGGAGCTTATAGGAAGAAGTTTGATGTTGTTCTTATGGATGTTGTTTTGAATGAATCGTTGATTGATTTCAATATGGTTTGTACGAGCATGGAAAATTGGGTTGTTGGCAATTGCGATAGCAGGCATGTTGTGGCATTGTAGATCAGCAGGTTGGTTCGAAGTGATGTCAAAGTCATTGAGAATCTGGCGTAATCAAATTACGTCTGTTGTAAGGGCGGAAAGTGCTCTATACTCAGATTCAGTTGAGGAGCTTGCCAATGTGTGTTTTTTTGTACGATCCATGAGATGATTGTGTCGTGAAGGAAGGAGCAGTAGCCGGATGTGGATTTTCTGGATATTGGGCCGCCCGCCCAGTCGGCGTCAAAGAAAGAGCAGATAAAGAGATTGTTCTTAGTGATGGGAATACCAAAATGCGTAGTGCCTTTGATATAACGAAAAAGTCATTTGAGGAGATATATGTGGGACAATAGGGGATTGTGCATATGTTGAGAGAGAAGATTGACAGAATATGCAATGTTCGATCTCATAAGCGTAAGATATTGAAAGGATCCAATGATTTTTCGAAACAGGTTTGGGTCAGACAGAAGCGGGTCGGGGTCAATGTTTCAAGAAAGTTTGGTACACGTGGGATTGGCAAGAGATTTGCAATGAGTAAGGTTGGCTAATTGAAGAATGGAATTTGCATAATGAGGTTGAGATAGAAAATACTAAGTGGATGTGTATTGAATATTGATGCCGAGAAATGAGTGAACAAGGCCGAGCTGTTTCATAGCATAGGTTTTGCTGAGTTGCTGAATGAGTTTAGAGATGGTCGTTTAATTATTTCCAGTTATGAGGATGTCGCCGACATTGATGAGAAGATAGATGTGTAATACCCAAAAAGCTCCAGGTACGTTTATTTTAAAAATCAATTAAGTTATATTAGAAATAACATTTATATATTTATATATATTAAAGAATTTTTTTTATTATTATTGAGTTAAGATAAAAAAAAGAGAGAGTAATTTAATTAAATCAGATATATCTAAACAGATGTTTCATATGAGGCTTTTGGCAATTGAACGGTTGGGAGATGGGCCCCACTTTCCCTCATAACCGTGGAGTTTATTTTTGGATAAGACTGCCGCATCATTGCTGAAAAGGGGTGGATTAAGTGGGTGCAGGAATTTCTGAAGAAGGACAGCGACACAGTGTTCCTGTGCTATTGCTTGTTGCGGTTATAGCATATGTTTTGCAGCAAAACCATAAGAAAGTCTGGGAAAACCTTCTATGCAGTAGAAAGTATCCCGGGTTGCAGAGTTCAGCGGATCTGTGGAGAGTCACCGAAGTCCTGTAGCAAACGTTGGCAAGGTAGGATTGCTTGGAAATTTCAATCAATGCTTGGAGTGGAGGAACCGGTTTAGAGCAGTACAAGGATTTTTGGTGAAGAAGGTACCAAGCATTAACATTAGAATTCAAGGTAAGTATTTAGAAACTGTACGAGGGTTTGGAAAATTTTAATATAAATCTATGTGATGAAATTGAAAATTATATAAGTATTATGGTGTAATCAGTGACAATAAAGTTAGAGAAGAGATTGGGAGAAGGAATAATATAGAAGTGAAAGAACAAGAGAAGGTGAGTATTTTGTATATATATATTTATAATTACAATGATTTGTGTACAAGTATACCAATGATTAGAAAAATTGTATGTAGGAAGTTCCTGAATTTATGCAGAGGAAAAGTTTTGAGTGGACTTATAATAGAAGAAGATTAAGAAGGGAAGGTGTGATAGTCTGATAGAAGCAAACCGTCAAGAAGGTAAGTTATGTAATTGATCATGAATATTTGGAATCTTTCTTATGTCTTGAAATGTTATTTATCAATGAAATGCACTATGAGAATTTGTTTGTTGTTGGAATATTCACAACTGTTTATACATGAGAATAAGAGAAATGTGATAGATGTCTAAGTGTGCTTATTTAAATCTTTTCTCAATTGATAACTATATGCAAAGAAGTTTTATTTTCAATTTAGTGACTATCACATTATTACTACACAAAGATGTATGAATGATGGAAAGATTATAACCATTGCAATTAATGTGAATGATGAATGTATGAAGTTTTGAATATCAAATTAAAGTAAAGATTGGATAAACTATGAAATGATGTATAACTTACAATTGCAAATGAGGCAAAAGGGTCCTCATGCACACTGCATTGTATGTGGGGCAAAAGGGACACCAAAGAATGAAACCTGCATAGCAGGTGGGGCAAAAGGGACCCAAAGAGGCAAAAGGGACCTCTATGTGATTCAATGGAGATAATGACAGGTTTACCTGGGCTCCATTGAATAAGGTTATGAAAGGATAGCCAAGTCTTTTACTAATGGAATTTTGTATTCAATAAAAACTTTAAGAAAGTAAAGATTAATGTTAATAAAGATTTATGAGACCTGTACTTGTATATGTAAGTTTAATGATTAATGATTTCAAAGTCTCATTTACTTCTTTCATTTTATTATAAATGTTATATAGATTACATAATTTGCTGAACCTCATAGCTCACCAGAACTTTCTTCTGACTGTTGTTACAGGAAAGGGAAAGGAGAAGATTGATGCAAGCTAATTTATACAAGTGTTTCTTCTTTTCATCTTAAAGTTACCTTTGTTAGTGAGTTTATTTTTTTAAGGTATGAAAGCAAATTAGACATGCATTTCTTTGGGTTTTTAGTAGTGGCTCTATAAGTATCTTATGTTGAACTTTAAATTTATAGTTGCTTCCGTTAGACAAGATGAATGAGAATTATTGGAGGTTTATAAAGATATATCAAATGTTCAATGATCAATTGAGGACATGTTTATATTTATATTTATGATGAAATTGTTATAATTGTGTTAGTAATACTCCCCGTGCTATTTAGGAGTACTGTGGGGTGTTACAAAAGTGGTATCAGAGCAATGTTTAAGGTTCTGAGGACTCAATTACGGAAGCGTAAACAAAGCGAATTATTTAGGAGAATAAGATTGGATTTGATGGAATTATTACAGAGCCTAGGAGAGTATAGTAACTCAGAGTTTATAATGAATCTAATTTCATTTGATTTATAGGTATCCATGTTTAATTTCTATCTGACTAATATGTAAGTATATGAAAGTAATGTCTAAATGAGAATTCATGATTATATAAATGCATAACTCTTAATGTAATGTGTTACAGTTTTAATGGCTGAAAGAATACCTGAAAGAGAGGAAGGTCAGTCATCCCAACCTATTAGGATCTCCGAAGATCCTGAAAATGTGGCACCAGTAGGAGGCAGTGCAGCTAGTGTAAATCCAGCACCGGTAGGAATGGAGGCTATGAATGCAATGTCAGGAAATATGATGCAACTGCAGATGATGAATATGATGATGCAAATGATGGAAAAGATGCAGTCTATGGTGGGATCTACTACACTGTTGGTGGAATTTTGAAAACATGTTTTGAAAATATTGGTTTTCTTTGGGACTTAAAATTGAATTATAAAATTAAATTATCTCGTTAGAAAAAGTATATCACCTCGAGAGGTTAAAATAAAATTTGATAACGGTATTCAGATTTAGAATTATGAAATTCATCTTGAATATCGTGACCAGATGCTAAAGAGAACTTCATATGGCCCCGAATGGTCAAAATGAGATTCTACTGAATATCCAGCCATAATATTCAAGAAGTATGATCGTTGATTTCACATCCAAAGCCTTATCAAAGAAAAGTGTATCTCCCCGAAGGGAGAAAATACCATTCGATGATAATTCTTTGATTGTGATAATAACGATCACTAGTATTTTAAGTTTTTCCAAAAAAATCTAATTGAACTTTGAAAAATCAATTTTAAAATCAGGTGTGTGTGGTTCTAAATCTCCTACAAGCGCAAGCCCTCGTAGTTAATTACATCGTAGGGAGATAAAGCCCCCTACGAAAACTCTCGATTAAAATAGTGGCAAAATTTTGTCAGATTTTCTAGGAGTGATATCAAAAAGAGAATTATTTTAGAAGCTCAAAAGGAAATGGGTCAAAATTGAGTAGTTATTAACAGAATCAAATGGAGAAGAGTAGGGGACACTTTGAGATTTTGGAACCATCTGAAAGTGTCCAAATCTAATCTAAACACATATACCATTCTGATTTTGTCAGATGATGATGAGCAAGCCTTAAAAGCATCTTATGTGGATCTTCGAAGTATGGTGCGGAACACCCTACTTGACGCATCAAACAAAGCTATTGAGCTACAAGCAGTGAATCCAGAAGAAGCATACAGTGGGGAGTTAAGGGCAAATGATGTTCAGAACAGAAGGGATGAAATTGCGTCTACTTCTAAAATAGGTACCAAGCATACTAGTATTGAGGGAAATGAGAAAATTGCCACGTTGAATAAGCATCAGAAACCTTCATGCTTGAAGGAAAAGGAAGTAAATCAAAATGGGCAGGATGGACGTGCAAAGATGGCTTCCTTGGAGAAGGTTCCTGATATTCCACCTGACGGGAAAAACTACTCCACACAAAACAATAGCAGCTCAGCTTCTCTTCCTAGAGCTAGTCTTATGGAGAGAAACCCAACTGCCCATACATTGGAGGTGCTTTCTTGTCTTATAAATTCTGTGTTTTGTAATTCCATTACGGTTAATGAGTCCTATAGGGAATTCCCTTCTCTCTCAAGTACAATAGCATTTCTCTGGTTTTCAAGGAATTCACGATCCTTTTAATGCAGTTGGTTTTAGTTAATCCAATCCTCATTATTGTCACTTTACTGCTGATTTGTTCTTTCTAATTTCATTTCTTTGAAAGAAAGCATTTATCATCCCTAATATTTGCAAATAGTAGACATAGATGACGACGACAACAACAACAAGCCTTTTTCCCACTATGTGGGGTCGGCTACATGAATTCTTATTCTCCATTGTGTCATGTTAAAAGTCAAATTATTGTTTAAATCTAATAAAGAAATATCATTTCTAATATTTTCTTACCAAGACTTTTTAGGTCTGCTTCTATCTTTCTTAACATAAGTCAAATCTAATACTTCTACTTTCCTAACTGGGTCATCGGAAGGCTGTTGTTTTATGTGACCAAACCATCTAAGGCGACTCTCTCTAATCTTATCTTCCACTGAAGCTACTCCATCCTTTTCACGTATATGCTCATTTTGTATCCTATCTCTAAGGGTAAAGCCACTCATCCACCTGAGCATCCTCATCTCTGCAACACTCAACTTAGTATTATGCTTCTCTTTTAATGGCCAACATTTGGCACCATAAAACATTGTAGGTCTCACAACCATTTTATTGAATTTTTCCTTAAGTTTGAGGGGGACTTTTCTATCACGCAACAAGCCCGATGCATTTCTCCACTTCAACCATTCAACTTGAATTCTGCTGATAATATCCTCATCTATTTCACCATCACTCTGAACAATATATCCAAGATATCTAAAACGTGTACTCTTATTAATAACTTGATTGCCCAAAGTCACAATCTCCTCACCAGGTCTATTACTATTAAAATTATACTCCATATATTCAATTTTAGATCTACGCAAGCGAAACCCTATAGACTCTAAAGTTGACCTCCATAATTCAAGTTTACCTTCAAGTCCCTCTCTAGTCTTATCAACAAAATAAAAATAAAAAATTTTGGTTAATCCAACCTTCATTACTGTCACTTCTTTTTTAACTTTTTACCTCTGAAAGCATATTTCATAGAAAGTTAATAGTTCGTAAGTTAAATCTTCTGCATCTCTTAGATTAATTTTTCTTCATGGTCTGGATGCTCTGTGATGCAGGATTGCTCACAACCATGATTTTTTTTTATGAGATCATTAAAAGTATGTGTTACAAACTTTAGTTGTCCTACAAATATTCATTTTTCTCACACCAACTCAGGTACTGAAAATACCTATTTTTCTTTTGTACTCTACTCTGAATCCTTAATCAAAGTTCTTCAAGAATCTTTGGCTAAAGTTGGTAGGACCCTGAAGGAGGTTTCTCCCCAGGCGTTTGTGAAGGCATACTGCGCCCCTTGAACGGTTCTGGCAAGGTTCTATCAGTCTCTTACTTCTTATTAGATTTTCCTTCACTTCTATCTTCTTCTACTATTATTAGCTAATAAGATTCGTTTTTGGTCCATCTTCTCTTCAAACAACCCTTATGGCTGCAGTGCTGCACAAATTTATGTGTGATTATTAAGGCTTTTTGCTTTGGTTTTCAATTTTCTTTCACCTTCTTCTCTTTGCAAGCAATTATGCCTTGGTTTTTAAGTTTCATAAAGTTTGGTTTCATATGGTCATGAAGTCTTTAAAATTGAATTCCAAGTCTGCATGTGTTTTTGAGTCCGCTTAAAAAGATTTTGAGTTAACTTGAAATTGTTTGGATTTTAAGTTGAGTTAGAATAAAGTTCCAATAATCGAATTTGAGTTTGAGTGAAGTTTAACTCGCTAGAAATATTTGATATCACCCCTACTGAAAGATCATCCATGCTGGCATGTTTGGATAAATTCATTGGCATCAAACTCTTAAGAATAGGTGGGCTCATTACTGTGAACAGAAGTATCAGAATTGGTGGGCACATTTTTGGAGAGTTTTATTCTGGGATAAATAATTATAATTAGGGGTGTAAATATGTTATGTAAATTCATTGTTATGCCTTTTGATTCTATTATTGTGAGTAGAATAGCTCAAAAGCTCCAGTCGAGCTCAACAGCACCATTTTTGAGTTTGGGTCAACTCGTCTAAGATTCAGGCAAGCTTTGCAAAAGTGATTTGGAATAATTGGGTTTGTTCATGTCATATTAAGTCCTGTTTGAGTCAACTTGAAAACAATGTCTTAACCTAATTAGTTTTTTTATATTAAAAATTCATATTAAATTGAGGAAAAAATTAAGCTATGGCATCTAAATCGGATAATCATGTCCATTTTTCGTTGGGTTGACACTAACTCAACACTAGTTAAGTGTTTTTCATGTTGGTTTAAGCTTTAGTCAAGTTGAGTTCCGGTTGAAATTTTTAACCCATTAAAAAAGTTTGATCCACCTAGACTTTTATTAGGCCGGACCTAAACACCCCTGACCTGTTTTCATGAATTGATTCCCCTAATTATAATAAATAATGACACTGATACAAATTGCTAAATAGCTATTTATGAAACATTCCTGAAATTTAAAACTTGTTTACTTTTGTAACATGAATTTGGTGTTCCATTATTGCTCTTTCGGCTAAATTTCATATGATGGATTTTTCGTGAGCATTTTTTGAATGTTAATTTTGTATGAAGTACTTTATTCTTCACTTGAGCCTTTTTAGTGAATCTACTCGTCTTTTTCGCTCTTATTGTGCATAGCAGATCCAATGCTACATATGTTCAATAATTATATGAGAATCTTTGCTTCATTTACAATGATTCTAAATTTAAGCTTCACTGTACCATAATTTTTTAGATTTAGTTGTTGCATTTGGTGCTATGCCATCTCAGAAGTGTTTGATCTAATGATCTTTTGTTTTGCAGTGGACAGATTCACCACGTCCGGAAGGGAGAATTCATTTACATAGCCCAACAAGGGAACCTGTTTCACCTTTGAATTTGATTGGTGATAAAAGATATGCTAAACGAAGGAAAGTGAGGAAATGGACTTTGCTGGAAGAAGAGACTTTGCTAAAGGCTGTGAGAGAGTATGTATTTATTTGAATTGTCTTAGGCTTCGTTTGATATAACTTTTTTATTATTTTCTATATCATCTTTTTAGCAAAAAATTTCTTGTTAAATAATTTTTATACTAGAAAATTATTTTAGAAAGCAGTAAGAAAGTTGTCCAAAACGGAGCCTTAGGTTTTGTTTGGGACAACTTTCTTATTGTTTTCTAAAGCAGCTTTCTACTGCTTTAAAAAGCTGTAAGAAAGTTGTCTTAAATGAAGCCTTAGGCTTTGTTTGGGACGGCTTTCTTACTACTTCTTAAAACAGTTTTTTAGTACAAAAATTAAAAAATTTGTATTAGAAAGCTGATTTAAGAAGCAGTAAGAAAATCGTCCCAAACAAAATCTTAGTTTGTTGAATATCTTTCTGTAGTTAGACAAACTAGGTGCTGGATTTCTTTCTTTAACCCAGACTTCCTGAAAGCTTAAGCTAGCTTCAGATTTGTTTAGGATGATAAAATTAAAGCTTGAAATCTTCATTTGTGGTATTGATGCTCTTTCTATGATTTGCTTTCCTTTTCATCTCTCAGGCATGGTAAAGGGAACTGGAAAACCATCCTGATTTGTTACCCTAGCATTTTTGAAGAAAGAACTGAGGTAATTTTTTGATAGTTTCAAATATCAAATTCTCTTCTTTCGGTGGAATCAGATTTTATTCTCTCTTTTTAACAGGTTGATCTAAAGGATAAATGGAGAAACATGACTAGAAGTAGCTGGCCATCTTGATTTTAGCCCTTCTCTCTCTCTCTCTCTCTCTCTCTCTCTCTCTCTCCTTTTGTAAAGAATGGACAGTTTTACGAGGTTTTATTAATATGACCTGGAGGGCTGGACTCCTGCTATCGGATTAATTGCCTTTTTTTTATTATTATTCTCTCTTCAGTTCTGTTGTGAGCATATGTAAAAGATAGTTTATTTATATCATTATAAATTACTCGATTTTAATAATATTGATCGAACCATTTTCGAATCATGACGGAAACTTCTTTGGCTATTCTTTGATCCTGATTTTAAAATATAAACAAGCTTTGAATAAATTTTGAACAATTTTCAATCTTGTACAAAATAAATTTTTTATCACATTAGAATAAGTTTCGAGCAATTGTCGAATCTTGTTCGGTATTAGTTTTTGATTCAAGAGTGTAGAGATAATATCATCTGAGATAAAAAATTTGCCTAATGTATAAGATCACTATAATTCAACAATAATAGCTAGCTAGCCAAATATGAAGAGGAAACATTGCATTGAAATTTTATCGCATAATCATTAATCATTAAAGAAAATCATCAAAGAAGAAGAAGAATGTTTTGAGAATATGAGGGGTTGGTCAACTTCTTGCTCGAATGATAGCTTATTGATATATCATAAAAAAATCATCTTGAGTAGGCACGAATCGTGAGGCAAGATCAAGTTGGAAACTACCGATAAATTTGAGATCATTCAAATTCTGATTTCAACAAAATTATAGTTGAATTGAACGTCTAGAAAAGACGAACCCAACGACACCAAATTTGAATAAATTCGAGCCGAAATGGGTCAAAATTGTAGACTCAAAGCATCTTTGAAAAGTTCAAACCATAATTTGGATGACTAAATGTTTTCCAAACGTGATATGCTTATAATTGAATCAATCGGTTTGACGAGGCGAATCCAATGAGCCAAAGATTGCTGAATTATGTTATCATTAAGATATTTAAATGCACATAAAATAGTTTGCGATCAAGGGAATTAATATCAGCCGTCCTTTCAAACCACTTTGAACATACCTTTGATGTTCCTCCTATTTATTGGTCATGTCACTCTGAAAAACTATAAATAGACCTATCATTCTTCACTGAGGGGAACCCAAGCAAGAAAGAAAAGGAAGAGAAACTAGAGTTGTCACCAGACTCCTTGACCACCGTCGAACCACCGACCGTCGCCAAACTATCGTCGGACTTCTGCCCGACCACCGACTATTGTTGGACTTCAACTCAGCCGCCAACTGACATCATATTTATATTCGACCTCCGACCGTCAACGGATTTTCATTGAATTCATGTTCATCACTAGATTTCAATCTGTTGGTTGATTATTGTAATATGATCACACTCAAGTTTGAGGACGCGCCAATTATTTGTAATTTATTCAAATATTAGTGGATCAATTTCGACTTGGCATGGCCCGTGGTTTTTCTCTTCATGGTTCCCACATTAAAAAAAAACAATTATGGTGTTTATGCTCTTTGTGTGTGTGAGCTGGATACTCATGCAACGTTAATCTACATAGTTTTTCCTACTTTACAGTCGCGAATATTCTAGCCCACAATACTTGTAACGTTAACTTTAGCATCTCTTCGAAATTCAGGGTCTTTTATTTTGAACAAAAATTTTAAATATTTTCTATAAAAAATAAAATACTTTACATATTTTTTTAATTTCAAATATTATGAACCATATAAACTTAAATTTCCCTACATAAAGGTAGCTTGTTCTGTCCAAAGCTTTTTTTTTTGTGCCATTGTAAGAGGATATTCTCTTCTTGCCAACTTAGAAAGTAAGCAAAAGGATCTGTTAAAATTTTATTAGAGAGCTTCAAAATTAGTGTACTATTGATTATTATAAGGAGAAGTAATCATAAATAACTTCAATTTTCATTTATTTTTGTTACTATTTATTCATTCTCCACCATGAGAGTAAAGAATACCATTGTTTTTTTATTACTAAACATGCCACCAGTAGATTAAAATCTCTCAAGATTTACGGCTTTATAGTCTTATTAGCGATAATCATGGGCGATTGGACCAAACGACGACATGTATGGAGAGCTTATTGTCGGATGATTTTGCTTAGATTCATGATTAAGGTTTTGTTTGGAAGAGCTTTTGATCATTATTTTTAGCTGCTTTCAAGATATTTTTGTTGAAGATTATCTTGTTTTGCTTAGGGTTCTCACGATTACCTTCTACACGTCTCGGCATTTTACCTATGATTATAAATTGGGCTCTCAAAAAAGTTCATCATAGCTTATGTTCGGCTCACTTATGAGTCATGCTTGCTTCATTTGTTAAGCTTGGATATGGAACACGAATAGATATTTTGAGATTATTTTTGTTTAATCATGTTTTTTTGCTAATTTGAACTCGAAATAAATAAATAAAAATGATTTAGGACATACATTGGCTCGTGTTCGGCTTGGTTTGCTTTACATAGGTAGCACCCCCTATAGCTACTAAAAGCTATAGGGGGTGCTACCTAATCATGAAAGCTGCTTTAGAAAGCATTAAGAAAGTTGACACAAACAAAGCCTAAGAGTTCATAAAATAATATTTTAATGACTTTTTTTTTTCAAACTGCAACCACAATTTTTGTTTGGCCACTATTTTTTTGCCACTTTTGAAAATTTTCTAGACTAGAAAATTGTTTTCTACAACTTTAAAAAGTTACCTTCACCACTGAAGTTTTACAAAGCATTAAAAAATTTGTCTCAAATGAAGCCTTAATCTATTTAGAAAGGTATAATAACTTATAAAATATTTTTTAATAACTTTTCAATTTAAATAATTTCTCGTTAATTTGTTTCTCTTTGTAATCCAAACAAGCAGGCTTTCTTCTTATTCAATCAGATTCATGTTCATTATTGCATGAGTCAATATTCATCATTTAGTTGAGATTAAAGGAACTGAAGAGTGATTGTATGAATAATGAATTAGTGTCTTGATTTGCAGCAAAGAAGAATGAAATTTTGTAATGTATTTAGGAATGTGAATTGTTTGGATAAAATTTTAAAAATTGAATCTTTTTTTTTTTTAGTTGATTTGGTTCGGTTGTTAAAGTATCGGTTCAATTATTTATTATAATTTTGATTTTATTTGGTTTTTGGTTATTAGCTTAGTTTTTATTTTTGTAAATTCGATCATTCCAAAATCGAAATATGCTGATATATTAAAAAAAATTAAAATGGTTATTATTTAAATATTCAAATATTATAAAGCGTGGCTAATTTGTTATAGATATTGAGTTAAAGATTCTTATTGTAATTATACATTTTCAATAATTATTATGATTTTTTAGAAATTTATTTTTGTCTTTTTCTATATATTTTATTTACAAAAATTGTGAAGTTTTTTTAAATAATTTGAGTGAATTATTTAAGCCCAAACGAGCCGCCATGCTCGTTATAAATTAGGACAAATCAATATTGATATCATATGACCAAACAATTTCGCACATAAGCCGATTTCAAGCAAATAAATTTTCAAATAAGTCGAATCCGAGAGGATAATAAGCTCGCTTAAACTCGGCTCTCCTAATGCAAAAACCATGAGGTTCATAGGTTTTCAGATGCATTATTAATGTTCCCATTGGAGATCAACTCCGACGACTAATATTTTTTTTTTTTTTGGACATTTAGGCCATTTAAGGCAAACTCACACACACAACGCATACACATGGACTCGAACCTTGGACCTCTTAGTTTGAAGCCTAAGCTCTCAACCAATAGGCCAAGGAGAGTTGTGTGACGACTAATACTTTCTTGAGGACAAATGCGACAATGAAGCATACAATATGGATATTATTTTAATAAAGGGAATTATGTAACACCTCAATTGAACATTTAGGCTTGATCTTACCTCAAATACATGAGCTAAGATTTGGAATAAGAACTTAGATTTGATATTAAGCTTGACTAGGCTTCATAACTTTATGTAGAAGCCTTATGGATTAGTGTGTACCTTCTTAGATAAGGATGATGAAATTATCAATGAATAGTTTTTATTTAATTTATTTATCTTATTCATATCAACATAATTCAATTTCAACAATAACAAAAAAGTATCAAAGGATAAGCTATTAATTAACATATAAACATGCTTTACTTTGTTGAATGTTGAAACATATAACATGAATTAGAACTTTTTCTAGCTATTTTGATCACAGATTTCATCATCATTGTAGTCAATTGAGGCACTCTCAGTAATGGTAGCCGCAGGTTTTACTCATACATTGATAAGTTAATGTATAGCTCAATTACAACAAATAAAATTGCCAGCAAAAGAGTAATATGGATAAGATGTTCTTTCACACAATAAAAAAAAAAAAAAACTTTGTATTGCTTATCTTTAACCGAGATTTGCAAAAAAATGAGCTTCAGTCTCTATTCCGTGAATAAGATGGCAATGGTGCACCTTCCTGGGGCCGGAGAATCACCAGGACACCAAACATTCCAAGCAAAGGAAGGAGCAAAAGCCACTTGAGCAGTTTGTAGTAATGCATATGGAATGTGAGAGAGAACTCATCTGAAAAATAAATCCCATTTTTGTCAATCATCTCTACCACCACCGTCCCCGTCGTTCGAACCGGCACCGTCGGTAGCTTCATCCGCTGCTTTCCAGGTTGATTATAAACTTGCTTAAGAACAATTCTTCTCTCACCTTGATAGTTTCCAGGGACTAACAAGTTTATCTGCATGTTCAGCATTCCAGAAAATAAGGTTCTTAATCCACCTAAATAATATGTTAAATTTATACTTCCTTCGGGATAGTTTTCTTACTGTTAAAAAATATATATATATATATATAGTGGCCATAAACTATCCCAGATGAAGCCTTAAGAAAAAACAAATAGGAGCAAGGATCTTACTGTGACATTATAAGGTCCTTGAAACCCGGATGGAACCCTGTATTTATCTATTATCTCAAACTCGACCCAAAAATGTTTTCCCTCTTCATCACGAAAAGTTCTTGATGCATGCGAAACATAAATTCCTTCGCGGTCATAGCGGATTCCTGGATTGTTTCTTCCTTGGTTAGATGATCTCCATTCCTGGAAGAATATAGCAATCCATGTTATAAAACAAAAACAAGAAAAGCCATGCAGAAAGAAGTTTACTAACAGTTTGTTAAGGAAAAGAAGATGTTAAATCAAATCAGATTAAGGCTTCGTTTGGGACGACTTTCTTTCTACTTCTTAAAGCAGCAGCTGTTTAGTACAAAAATTTTTAATCTTGTACTAGAAAGCTGCTTTAAGAAGCAGAAAGAAAACCGTCCCAAACAAAGCTTAAATTCATGTTGAATTAAGGATGTTAATTTCACTGTGAATCTTTAGTATTATTATCTACCGCAATGCTGTTAGTTAATCCACTCTACCTTTAGAGGGTGGTGCGGTGATGCGGTCGAAAAGCAAAGAACATTGCCATTCATTGTAGAAACAATAAGGTCCAGATCATCTCCACCATCGACATTATCTGCTAAGACCATGCTATACCTGCAAATTATGGAGTGTCAGTAGCAAGCACATGAAATTCAAGTCAAACAAGCTTTGAGAGACAAATTGGGGCTTGTTGAAGGATAAAATAAGCTTACACAGTCTCCCCAATGTCCACAACATCAGTGCATGCAGAGGATCCATCTATCAAGTAAAGATAGCCATCAAAAGAAGTGGTAACTAGAGTTAACCCCTTCTTATTTTCACCACGCTTGGTTAGGTCAACTAGAAGAACTCGGGACATAACTCTTCCATGCGTTCGATAAGGGAAGTGAGGTACAAATGAACCGTCTCTCCCACTGAGGACATATATGTTACCAGATATTGTTGGTATCACCACATCAGTATGCCCATCACCATCAACATCACCAATAGTAGGACCCTGGTTAATAATTACACGATGATGAGACTTCAAATTAATTGATGGAAACAAGCGTGCTCCCACAACGAATTGTCAAAATACATAACAAACGCCTTTGCATCTTGGCAACATTCAAATCAAATGGGTTAAAAACTTAAAATAATATAAACCAACTTAAGAAAAGCAGGGAGGTGGCAAACTAGTTGATGCAAAAACAGGGAAGGAAATCAACGCAGAAAGCCAGTCAAAGGAGAAAAGGAGATAGTTATTCAAGCCCAGTTCAGTAAACTAGATGAATGATTCTGATGACCTATGTCGAGAATTGCATAACAGGACAGAGAATTCAGGTAAAAAAAAATACGAGAAAAAGACTGAAATAGTCCCAAAATATTCGTATGTAGCCAATTTGATCTCCGTAAATTTTTTTCTAATTTAGTCGAGCTCTCTCAAATAGAGAACGATGAAAAATTGGGTATAAAATTGATGCTAATTTAGTCTTGAGAGGCCATTCGAGATCAATTTTGTGTAGTCAAGTGATAAAATTGGATAAATATGTTTGGATTAAATTGGTCATATCTAAATAGTCGGGGGACTATTTTAAATCATAATGGCTTGTGATATTGTAGTACTGTTCAGCATAATCATTACAGAGAAGTTCATCAACTGTAATTCATGATACTAGTGTAAGCACAATAGTAGCTCATCTTAATGCCTATTTATTTTAGCCATTTAGTTTATAATATAAATGACTTGGATTTTTCAGATTGTTATGTTGGACTCAAATGTTTCGCTACCAAAGGCTCATATTACTAAGTATGAATTCTAAGTTTCAGTATAAATCTCTCAAATTTGTTTTGTTAACAAAGACTCGTATTACTAAGAATGAATTCTAAGGTTCAGCATAAACCCTCCATGTCAGCTTTCTTTATTGGCAACGTAAAAATTTTCAAAGCATCAAATGTCATTTGCAGATTCATAGATATTTCATTTTCTTTTTATTTTAAGGTTTGACTCAAAATCCGGAGGGACACAAAAGTGTTTCTTCCAATTAATACAAAATGCAACAATCTTCTTAAATCTTTCTTTGGACATCAACCGGTACAAGATTTCAGAAGGCACACAGACCAAACCAACAACAACAACAAGCCTTTATCCCACTGTGGGAAAGGCACAGACCAGACCACTTAACCTGAAATTGTCAAGGCATGAAACATCGTAGCACAAACACTATAGCGATCCATAATGCTGATTTGTCATAACATCCATTATATGTTTCCCAAGGAGAACGCTTAGCAGCTTTTTCATGGATGCACATTATTACAAAGCCATAATGCTAAAAATGTTTTCAACACATCATATTTCTTAAGCCATAAAGACAAAGTCATCGGTTTCTATTACCCTTTCAGAAAATCAACCACAATGCTACATAGTAAACAAAATATGGGCCTTCCCTTTCTCCTGAACCTTAAATTCATCCAAGGGAGAATTACCAAAAAATGTTTCCAAATATAACATTATTCCAAACAAATAAAAGCTAATACAAAGCCCTAGAAGGCTGAACTCCGAGCAGTCTTGTGAAGATGAATTTTCTTTCATTCATCAAATTGGCTTCTAGAAGTATTTTTCACTATTGGACATGTTAGACACAATTGATGTCCTGAGTGATACTTCAAAATTAAAAATTTATCATGCCACACAAACCATAATGCAATAGAAGAGAAGCATCAGTATCAAACAGAATGAATCGATTAGGACTCATAATAATGATTCACACAAAACTCACTCGATTATACTAGAATTTCTAATCAATTTGAAATCAAAATTGATTTGCTTTGGCTTGAAGGCTCGGTCAAAATTAATTAAAGTCATGAAGAAAATAGCTCGTGACCTTTAAATGTTAAATAAAAAATACCCATTTGGTTTAACATCATTTAACTAGTGGATCACAATAAAGCAAAAAAAAAAATCCTTTGACGATCACTTAGCTGGACCAAAATATTTCACAATGAATGCCTTTGACTGCATGAGATGATAATTAAAATTTTTAGGGAGTAAAGTCTTTTAAATGATCTAGAATTAGATAAATGAGTTTAATAAGAAATTAAGGCATACACTATAACTTTGATTGAAAAAAAAAAAAAAGAAATTAAAATTTCCTTCTTCCAATTTTTAATCTATCCGTGCAAAGATGGATATATGATTCATTCGAATGCACTAATAAAACTGCGGTACTAATAAAACTACTTAATTCTAGGAGAAGTTATAACTTACCTGAGGAATGAGACTCTTAAGATGCACTTCCCAAATTTCATCTCCTTGTGCAGTCCATGCAGCAACATTGCCATGCACATCGGAAGTCACTATTTCAATTTTGCCATCATCATTTATATCTGCTGCAACCACTGGTGCCTGAATCTCCGCCATCTCCAGTGGGAATTTGTTTCTCACCTTACCTACGTTTTACATCACACAATTATTATCACAAATAAACACAGGAACCGTCCATCTTCATATCACTCTGTCGATATAAAAAGAACAATGTTCGCAACCTATATTTTAAAGCAAAAATTTTGAAGTAATAAAATAACAATTAGTGGAATATTAATGACCTAAGAGGATCATAGCATATCAGCCACAAAGGCCAGGAGAGAATATCTACAATGCTAGCTTTATTCAGCAGATTAAAAAAGTATTCCAACTAGAGCATTGCATAAAGTATGGTGATCGGGACAAGTAAAACTGTCATACTTTTTTATTCTGAAAATACTCCCGCACAACATACTTTTCCTTCATTCAAGCGGTTGAAATATGTTCTCAGGCATATAAATGAGAGAAACGAAATAAATGGCTTTTTTCTTTAAAAATCAACCGCAAAAATGAATCATAAACATAATAATAATGTGAATGTAAGAGAAGATGACTACATAACTTACCGTGATGATCCAATATGTAAAACAGACCATAGGAGGTACCAACAAGAATGTCCAGGTTTCCATCACCATCCAAATCAATAACAGTTGGAGTTGTGTATATATATGCACGAAAATTCCCAGTATCAGTACTCAAATCAAGGTCAGCAGTCCATTTCACTTGTTTTGTATCAAGGTTGAATACTACAATACTGCTTGCTATATATTTGCCAATATCAATACCACCCAAATCGGCCATATGGTCTGGATTATCATAGTACCTGCCAACTTGCAGGAGTAAATTACTAATTTACGTATTTAGAAGATATCATCGCCATAAAAAATACATGATTAAAAAAGTTTAATTTGAGTAGAATGAATACAAGAATGGCAGCTTTTCTTCAGAGGCTAGACATTCTCTCTCAAGTCAAAAGACCAAGATGCACCACTCTCAGGCCCCCAATATTTAATATAACTACCAGGTGCAACAAAATTGGCCCCAAAAAATGCTGAGAAAGAGTTCTACAAGAGGAAAACGGCAAAACCAGGTGAAGCACATGTGCCTTCTATTTCTGAAGTTCTTGCTATGCCTATGCCTAAACATTAACAGCAAATAACGGATTAAAAACTAGGAGCAGAAATTCCTTGTATAAAATGTTAAACATCAAGTATGTATACAGTTGATTCCTCACTGATGGGAGATTACTAGTTGAAATCTAAAATGTTATTCAAAAGACATTCAAGATATATTCCCGGCTTTAGCATCCAAACTCAAATATAACCTAGGCAGCCGATAGATTTAATCCCCATGAACCCTAAGTTTAGAGTGTCAGAGTCTGCATCCGTATTTGCATCTCATCTCCAGGAATTGCATCAAGAGATTAATAAAAGAATTGCACAAAGTAATGATAAATATAAACTTAATGCTGATCTTAAGCGACGATTCAAGGAGTTCGAAGTTGGAGACTATGTCATGGTTCGGATTCGTCCTGAACGGTTTCCGCCAGGGGCCGTTAAGAAATTACATGCTAAAAGCGCAGGGCCTTTCAAAATAACTGCCAAAATAAACAGTAATGCTTATGTATTAGACCTTCTAGAAGGTTTCAACATGAATCCCACGTTTAACATTGAGGATCTAGTAGCCTTTGATGGCCCTGATTTCAACCATGAAAATCCACTAAATATTGAGCCTTGTGAGACCATGCCGAGTGAGATCCCGAGCCTACCTCCACTCCCTAAAATTCCCACATTACCTAATACGAAGAAGATAGAAATCATACTCAGTGATCAAATCATTTCCACCAGAGATGGCGGGCGCTGAAGATACCTAGTTCAGTGGAAAGGGAAGTCGGAGACGGAGAATACATGGCTGGATCATGATGAGATACAGAGACTGGATCCTGGTCTCCTTGAGCTGTACGAGAGTTCTCAGGACCCTTGCTCGACAGGGTCGAGCTTCCTCCTACCTGGGGAGAATGATGAGGACATCCATAAGAGATTTCGACACACTTACCATCGGAGGGGTCATCGAGCGACTGTCACGATTCATAGTCTTTATTTCTGATATTTTATTTTATTCATGTCATTTATATTTTATGTTTTTCATTTGTACCCCTCTGAGGAAGATATTGCATGTTATAGCCCAAGGGCAAGTTCGTCTTTATGGTTTTTATTTTTCGGAAGGCCTATATATAGGCTTAGTCATTGTATTTGGAGTTAGTTTTTTATAAATGAAAATTTCTTTTGTTTTATGATCTCTTAGTGAGTTCCTGAGTGAAATCTCAAGATCTCTTAGTAAGTTCTTAAGGAAGAGAGTTTTAATTGATTCCCTCTTCTCCCCTTCCTCCTCCCACGGTTTTCCCCACCTCAACCCCTTTTCCGCCGCCCCAAACAGCCCTTGCATCCCTAGCTACCCGCCGGCCACCCGCTGGCCCCATCTTGCCGCCGGCCCCCCTTTAGCTTTCCCATTTGAATTTCGAAGTCTCCTCTCTTAATTGCTTTCCTAATTAAGCCATATTAATTTTGGAAAGTTAATTAAAATTAGACACCTATTTGAAATTCAAATTCAATTTCCCTCATATTTTCATTTGAATTTGGGAGTTAAGTCAATCAATTCTGAAATTTAAATTCATATTTGATTTGATTTAATTAATCCCTTGTGGTCCCTATTTGAAATTCAAATTCAATTTCCCTCATATTTTCATTTCAATTTGGGAGTTAAGTCAATCAATTCTGAAATTTAAATTCATATTTGATTTGATTTAATTAATCCCTTGTGGTCCTCATTTGTTTAATTCCCAAGCCCTCTCACCACTACATGGCCGGCCACTCACCTCTCTCTCTCCCCTATTAATCCTCCTTTAATACACCCTTAACTCTTTCCCTCCTAGATTAATTTCAAATTTGAAATTCTGAAACTGAAATTAACCCTCCATATTTTTATGGAAATTTGAATTAAAATTCATATTTCAGTTTCTTGGTCCATAGCCTCACTCGCCCCCCCATCCTCTTCCCAAATCGTGACCCCCTTTTCTTCCCAAACCCACAACTCAACTTGCCCAAGCCCAGACCGCCGGCTTCCTCCCTCTTCCCCCTTGTGGTGTTTCTTTCTCTTCCGGCAAGGATGCATGTCGAATCCTGAGATTGATAGTGGATTGGTATTCGATGTCTACGGAGACATCCATATCACCCGTTCACCGTTCTTTGACGTCGGGTTTGGCTCCGACAATACTGTTGAAAACTATTTGAATTGCATCATTCCCACTCTTGTGGACGTCATAGACGATCAATTTCAGGACTACGATTGGACCATCAACGACCATCCACCCGTTTCTCCTCCTCCACCGCTGCCGCATCCCTCGCCATCACTGCGGATCGTCTGCGCCGTCTACCTTGGAGTGATTTCATTTCTTGTATGGTTCTTCTTCCTACGACAACCCTAGACGTAGAAGAGTGACTTTGAGCCTCAAGGTGAGACGATTACTTTGTTAACCGTCGGATTCTAGTTGACTAATCATTTCATTAATCTTGTTTACGTTGTTATTTTAAAGTGCTAGCAAATTTAGTTGTAATGGATTGCCTAAGCATCGTTTGCTTCGAAAAGCTTTCTTGAGTTTTTAATTTTGAGACGCTTTAAAGTTTATTTTTTATCATCGCTCCAACAAACTTTATTAATCTCTAAGAAAACAATTCTTGGTTTCACATCATTTAGACTCTAACGTTGACCTCCATAATTCAAGTTTTTCATCAACTCCCTCCCTAGTCTTAACAACAAGAAGAATACATTAGCAAAAATCATACACCAAAGTACATCCTCTTGCAAATGTCTAGTAAGAACAGCCATGACAAAAGTCAAAATATATGAGCTTAAAGTTGATATTTGATGTAATTCAACTGAAAGAGGATAATACTTAGTTAAACCACCTTGTGTTTGAACACTAGTAATAGCTCCTATATACACACCCTTAATGACTTGAACATAAGTATTATTAACTTCTTTTTTTTCTATAACTCTCCATAGCACTTCTCTTAAAACTTTATCATATATTTTCTCTAACTCAATAAATATCATATGCAGATACTTCTTATTCTCTCTATATTTCTCCATCAAACCTTTTAGTAAATGTATAGCTTCTATAGTAGACCTACCATGTATGAATCCAAACAGATTTTGAGAAACATTAGTATCACGTCCTAAAATATGCTCAATTTTTCCCTCCCATAATTTTAATGTATGACATATTAAACTAATCCATCCATAATTTACACACTTTCGTGCATCACCTTTATTTTTAAAAATGGAAATAAACATATTTTTTTCTCTATTCATATGTCATATTTTTAGTCTTTAAAATAATATTAACAAGTCAAGAAGTTTATTGATCTAGTATTTCCACGCTTCTATTAAGATATCATTAGATCCTATTATTTTTCACACTTTATTTTCATTATAGACTCTCCAACTTCGGCTGATGAGGACATCCGACCGTGGAAAGTCTATCAGAGAAGGGCCCGAAGATCTACATCCATGATTTGACCATTTTATTTTTGAGCTTTTAGTTGTATTTGATTTACTTACGTATTTTTCCATGTTTATCCTCACTTGAGGTAGTAAGCTTATGTGACCCCAGGGCCCAGAGGGAACTTTTGTCGTTAGACATATCATTATATTTTGACTATTTATAGGCTTCTCCTCCTCTTTGGAGAGGATGATGATTATGATGATTAAAATTTCCAGCACTTGTGTTCTTAGAGAGTTGTGAGAGCTCTTGTGAGAGTGGAAGTCCATAGGTGAGGGCAAAATACTACCCATCAGCCGCAGGAAATGTTTGGCTCATGGTTCTTCTCCTCCACCAACTTCCTCTCCTTCTTTCTCCTAGAAGCCGCCCCCCATCTTCCCCTTTTCTCTCTTGTCTGAAACTCCACACCCAAGCCCAGGCCGACTCCACCCTTACCTTTTCTCCCTTGGTCGAACTCCACGCCCAAAGCCCTAAGCCGACCCCCATCAAACCACTAGCCACCCATCTCCCTTCCCTAGCCGCCGGCCCCATCACCCCTCCCCTTGGAGTCAAAGTTTCAACCTAGCAATCACTACTTTCCTAATTTAACTCATTGCAAATTTGTAAAATAATTTAAATTCAAATTTGAATTTGAAATTCCTTTCCTTAAATAAAATGAGTTATAATAGGAATGCCCTCCAATCATGCTAATTTAAATTCAAATACATATTCATCACGATTTCTTTTTCCCTAAGTAATAGCCTATTATTGGCAATGTCATTAAAATTCCCAAATCCTCTCCCCAATTGAAGCTAGCCCTCCCCCCCCCCCCCCCCTACTTCTCCTCTTTCCACACTTAAGACTTGCCAATTGGGAAACCCAATTAATTCCCCCCATCAAGGTGTCGCCCGCCCCCCTTTCCCTCTCTCTTTTATTTGGGAAGCTTTCAAATTCAATTCTCCCTCAATTTCTCCTCTACTTAAAGCAGCCATTAATTCCTACTTAATTCTTGTCCTAATTGGAATGCCACCTAGACAAAAATTCAGTCCTAAGATTTTAATCATTGCTGAAATTAAAATTAAGAATTTTCTACTTATTGTCTTTCCTTATTCGTCACCCAAATAAAGAATTAAAAGGGTGCTCTAGGGCCGGCCATAATCTCCTCCCTCTTCTCTACAATAGGGCTCCTTCGCTTGATGTTTTCACCTAAGAAAGAAAAAAGAATCCACCTCCCCTGCCGACCACATTCAAATCATTTGAATACTTTAATCCCTTTACGACTA